ATAAGTCACCAGCCCAGACCAGGTCTGGCCACGACTGCTTGACTCAGGTGACTTCCTGAGGGACCTCGTTGTCAGACCTAAAGAACTGATGGCTCTCTCCCAGTTCTCATCTCTAGCTGGGCACTTCCTCCTTGGGTCTGATCCCTTGCCCTGTCTCATCTCCAGGCCATGGGGAGACTAGTCTTATTCTGAATCTCAGTTGTCAATGGCCTTGGCACCCAGCCTGGCCCCAGCTCTTGAACTTTAACTGACCCATAGTGTCATTTCCTTCCATAAACAGACAGATTTCAGAGAACAGAGCTCCCTCCTCTTGGCTTCTACGCACTAGAAGGCTGCCGGCACCCCCCAGTCCTAGACCTTGACCGTGTGGTTACTGATTCTCTTTTCCCCACCACTTCAGAAACGAGAGCCTACCTTCTTTCTTACTCTCCACCACCCATTTCATGAAAAGGCCCGTGATATTTTGCACACAAAGTAGCCTTGATTTCAACACAACCATGAGATTGCTAATGCTTCTCTATGGAGTAGAATTACACTATCTATTCCAACTGTGACATTGGGCAAATCATTCTACTGCTCGGAGACTTTCCTTCTAGTTAAAATGGGCATTATATTAGATGACATCCTTCTACCATAAAACTGTGAATCTGTGAATTCAGAGCTGAAATTCTCTTTATTTTATGTTACCTGATGACTCTGAGGACCTAAGCATGGTTATAGGGCTAAGGACTTTAAGTAAGTCTGTCTGTCTTCCAGGAGGAGATTCTGAAAACTTTGTCCACCATGGACAAGGAGCTCTAGTCTTTATTTCCAACTCATATCCCTTATGCTATTGCTTGAGAATGACCTTCCTGTCTACATAAGCTATATTATATTAGTCTTTGTGTGTGTGTACTTTCAAAACTACCTTTAACACTTTTGTAAAACACCCTCAACTTTGTCTATTCAGCTACTTGCATGAAAAACATTCTAATTTATTTCAACCTGAACATGGTTTGAAGACCTACAACAATGACAGTAACCTCTACAATGCAATTCACCTTGATGCTAATATGGAACATTGAAGTCATAGGATTTCCACAATTACCATGTTGCCTCAATATATACTGCAGTTGTTGGCTAAATGATTAATTGTCATGGTTCCTCTCTCATTTATGCTTCTTAGATATCTTCCACCATATCTCTATAGAAGCTTCATTCATTTCGTAACACACCAATTCAACAAATAAACTTTTGCAATCCTCATTTACTCCTATGCTTTTTTAAAATATATATTTTTTTATTGATTTCAGAGAGGGAGAGGGAAAGAGAGAGAGAGAAACATCAATGATGAGAGAGAATCACTGATTGGCTGCCTCCTGCACACCCCCTACTGAGGATCGAGCCTGCAACCCCAGGCATGTGCCCCTTGACTGGTATTGAACCTGGGACCCTTTGGTCTGCAGGCTGACGCTCTATCCACTAAGCCAAACCAGCTAGGGCTTACCCCTATGCTTTTACCAAAAAATGAGACCCACATACTTTTTTGGTCTTCGCATTCCAGAGCATCTGTTTGACATGGAAAATTAAATCATCCCATGTTTATAGGCATGTCAATTGGTAGAAAAATATGAATTACTGCCTAGATTTCTTTATCCAGAACAATACTATATTTTCTTCTACAGAGATTGACTCAGCAATCCTAGGAACACAACCAAATTAATTTCCCACTCCCTGCTGCATCTTGGGGAGGCCATCTGACTAGTTCTCAGCAATGGAATGTAGAGCAAGGATACTTCCACTTAGGAGCTAAGAAGTTCTCGTCCATTTCCCCCACTTGTTGACTGGCTGGTAATACCAGGATGATCTTGAGACCTCGTGTTGAGATGATGGCAGAACTACAGGAAAGGAGCTGTGCTACTGAATTATCTCGTGCAAGGCCACCTGCCTAACACCTGCTTGGACTGTGAAGACAGTCATGAGAGTTCTGGGTTGCCTGAAGCTAGCAGGTCTGGCTAAATGCATTCCTCTTATCCTGTAAGTGAACAAATTAGAAACTGCAGAATCCCCAGGATAGGTAGGCGGCTACATGGCACAGCCAAAGGCGATGCCATGCAGATGATTTAGGAAACTTCCTCTCACTCTGCCTTTAAGTAATAATTGCCATTCCCTGCAAAACAAGAAGGGGGCTCAGAGCCATGAATGCACTCTCTCCCCTCAGGCACCTTTGCTGCTCACCCACGGTGCCAGTCCCACCTGCCAGAGCTCAGAAACCTGCCCTGCTCTCCCTCATGTTGGCATTTTTGAATACAGCATACGGGCTCTCCCATGTGACATAATCTCAGAACCAAAACCAAGCATCCCCTATCTGGCCCTTCTCACTTCTTTCAGACCATTCAGTAAACAGAACCTGGTTTCTTTCAAAATAACACAGTTATCTAATTTTCTTCATGAGTAGCGAGGTAAGCAATGCTGCTGGCTCTCCATGACCCAGTTTCCTGGGTGCATTTAAGGCTTTTCCTCTTACACTTGTGTCCACCACAATCTCACTTCTTAATGTGACCTCTGGCTCTTCTGTTTAATGTGCTTCCTGTTTTTTCTGTGTTACTTACAAACGTGAATGCCTGGGGTCCTCCTCTTCGTTGCTTCTAGCCCATTGCATCTTCACTCCCGTCCGGGCCTCTTTCCCTGTGGTTCCTCGGAAATGTAACTCACATCTTTCCTCTCGGGTCTGTCTTTTCTCTAAGAGAAGGGGTTTAAGGAAAGAGTGCAATAATCCTGAGTGTACCGTTTTTCCTCCCCTTTACCACAGTTGGCACCAACTGTGTTCCTGAACCCCCCCTCCTGGTCCACGCCTCTTACAGGATAACCTAAGCACCGACCTCTGGTTGCTAAATCAAATCAAACAACATAATAGCCAATTTTGTCTTTATTTTCTCATACTTCTTCTAACATTTAAATTTCTCCACCAGTCAGTTAATAAATCACTTTGGAACACTTTGCCAGGAGCTTTGAGATGGGAACAGAAGAAATACTAACAAGCTCACAAGTGACGTGTGAGCCTCGTTTATATGAAACCATTTGAGAATAAGATAGTATATAATACTAGCCATCTAGTGCAATAAAAAGCACATTCAGAATTGCAGAGGGGAGAGAGCAGTGTGTGCTGGCTAAAGAGAACGTTTTGTGAAGTTGGGATTTGGCCTTTAATAACTGTTAGGTTAGGGCAATAGGAAGAACACGCATTACATATGTGGGGAATACCATGAACAAAAGCAGAGAGGCAGAAAAAATAGGAATAGTCACAGTGGGTCCTATTTATCTCGCACCTATTATGTGCCTTGCGCCATGCTGCGCTTTCTGTAATCGTTAGATTTAATCCTCACAACAATCCTGGGATTATGGGGTGGGTATTTCACAAGTAAGAGAACTCAGGGTTAGAGAAGTACACATGTCAGGCTCATGACTCAGTGCCGTGCTCCACCCACTGCTTAGGAAGGTGGGGCCGTTAAGAGGAAGGGCACCACTCTGGACAGTAGAAGGCAGTCAAGCGGGCCGATTGGTGAGGCTAGTTTAGGAGACGCTGGGTGTTGAACAAGGATGCTGGACCTGATAAGTCACAGGAGACTGCTGTCGGTTTTTTAGCACGCATGCAGCATGCCACACATTGGAGTTGACTAGATACGAGTTCAAGGCCATATTCCACGTTAGCTGTATGACTCTGGGACACAGAGGTAAACTTGCTGGGACTCAGTTTTCCCATTTGTGAAATGTGTTTAACAGTAGTGTCGATTCATAGGGTTGAGAGGCTTAAATGAGGTAGCGTATTTAAAGCTTCTACTATAAGTACTTGGCATATAGTAAGCACTTGATAGATGAAGCTACTGCTACCAAGACAGTGTTTAAGGAAGATAATTCAGAGAGAAACAGCTACCAGACTCTCCCCTGGAGAGATGTGACGAGATGGCTTTCGATTCTTGGGATGAGAAGAGACAGGTAGCAATGAATTTATGAACATGGTAAGGGTGAGTCCACAGGACTTGGTGACTGATGGAGGGACAAAGGGACAGGAAAGCCCATCCGCACAAATTCAGGAGGATTTGAGAAGTGAGATAACATGACCAGAAATTAGGAAGTGAGGGAGGACGTTAGGCTTGGGGGGTGGGGGGTAAGTTAAGTTTTGGGTATTTTGAGTTTGAAATGATGACAACACAGCAGGGAGCATGTACTAGAAGCTTTGGCAAAAATGGTTGGCTTTTTGGAAATGTAGCTTTGGGGATTCTTTTAGTAAGTGTATTGAGAATATAAAACTGAACTGGTGTCCAGTATAAAGCGAGAAGACCAGAGGACCAGGGTTGATCCTGGGGGTGCCCACAGTCAAGGAGCGTGAAATGGGCGAGGAGTCATGGAAAGTCATAGGAAAGGAGCAGAGGGAGATTGGGCAAAAATGTAGATCACAGAAGTCCTAACAGGGAAGGGACTTTCCGAAAGGAGGAAGGGACCCACCAGGCCCAGGGCTGCTGAGGGCAGAAAAGACTGAGGGGATTGGGAGGGGACTTCTGCAGTTGGCACAGTGCTGGCATGGGGCCCAGCCTGGGGGGCACCAGCGGGGGTGAAAGCCAGCAGGCAGGCCCATTCCTCTGAGATGTAAGTCCATGGGAGAACCAGGCTGCGGCTGCGAGGCCAGGACCACCAGCAACCCTCTGAGGGAGCTTCAGTTCAGACCAGCCCTTAGCACGGCCCGTCCTTCACTGACATGCCTCCTTCCCATGATCACGCTCACAGTCTTGGTCTGACCTCCATTAAATTTTCTCTTCTCCTTTCAGTTTCACTATTGCTACTACACTCATCAACCTGACCCATGGAACCCCAGCCCCACCATTTCTGATGATGTCATGGCTCCTACCTTTCACAAACACATCTAAGATGTTCTGTTTCTGTTTCAAAGGCATCATCAGGAATGCAAGTTATTTCACCTTGCACCAATAAATAAAATGCATTGATTTTTTGGTTTGACACAGGCATCTACAAGATGACAGTGCTGGCTATTATCACTGTGGGTTTCAGATCACTCCTCACAAACACTCTCTGAGCTCCTGCGCCTCTTCGCTGGAACTCCATCAGTAGCTGCACCAGCTGTTACTTGGAACCTGACCGGGAAACAGCCTCCCGGCCCAGCCCACTGAGAATCAGCCTTCCCCCGCGGAGCCCCTCCAGGTGGGTTTCTTTCCCTTTGCCCGGGTTAAGCCTAGGACTTCCAGTTACTTCCCTCTCTCTCCTTCCCAGACTTGCTCCCTGCTTTCCACCTCCACCAACAAATGCTGAGTGCCAGTGACCAGCGTAGACACAGTGCTGCCTTATTTCCCTTCTTTTGTTGGTTTTACCTGGTAAGTTGGCCTGAGTTAACTTCATTTCACATTACCTTATATCAGACAGATCAGAAACCCTGTCTAATTCAGTGCGTCTAACTAGCGGTCACCCTCTATACTCCAGTATCTCCACAGTGTCCTGGAACACTTGGGACTTTATAAATGCTTTTTGTTGATGAGTTGATAATTGGGGTCACAGATAGCCTCATTTTTCTCCCATTTCCTGCAAACACATCTCAGGTATCAACTTTCTTCACTGTGAGCAGTTCTGAGTCCCCGTCTTCCTTCCAGAGAGTTTCAGGAAAGAGCCTCTTTCTTAATAACTTGTATCATGATGTCTTCATGCTTTCCTTGCACTCACTCTGCCTCTGGCAGGTACAACTGCATCCTGATTGGGAGAATTCTCCGCAGACTAGCTTCTGGTGATGCACATTTCAAACTAATTCCTTCTGGTTCCGTATACCACAGAACACAGTCATGTCCTATGTGACCTCTCGTCCTGGCCTCTAGCATCACAGCACAGGGTGAGTCAGCCAGCAAGCCAGAGCAGTATTTCTGGAAGTCACTTCTACTTCAGGAAGCCCAGTAATAACTTCACTGTCTGCTGAAGTGACTGAAAACCACATCAGCATATCCCTGTCCACCAGAAATTGTATCTTGTGATTTAATTTCCCCTTAACAGGATCTCCAAAGTGTCCATACCATTCCAATGACACCTGACACAGGAGAAATGTGATTGAGGGGAGGTTGAAGTGGAAGAGTACAGTAGACTTAACCAATCGCAGCTAAGATCTCTTGCCCCTGAAAATTTACAGAACACACGTACATATGAACACGTTCTGGGTCCCTCCTGGTGCCTTGACAGAAGGTGTCATTGCTAGTGAGGGGCTCTGAAGCTAAAGCTTCATCAAGTGCATAGAAAACCTACCTTTCTACTCCACGTCTCTAAGTTCTGTTTCCTCATCTGCAAAAGAAGAGTGATATTTGCTTTGCCTATTTGAAACTAATGAAATCATCTAGTTTTTAAAACCGCTTTATATTATTGCTTAATTATCATTGCATCATCAGGGCTTGCTGTCACATTATTTACCCAAATTGGCTACAACAACATCTCCCTTCCCACATCCTCTTCTTACAAAACACGTCGACGCTCCTCCCGTTGAGAGGTAGGTTCTCTGATCCCTCCCTTTGTGTTCGGGTGGGCTTGTGACCACAGCAGAAGTGGTGATATGATCCCCAAAGCTAGGTCATAAAAGGTGATACATCGTCTACCTGGCCCTGTTGGGATGCTTGTTCTTGCAACCCAATAGCTGTGAGGAAGCCCATGCTATAGAGAAGGCCACATAAAGAAGAACAGACAGCTTGGCCAGAATGGCTGGGTGGTTGAATGTTGACCTATGAACCAGGAGGTCATGGTTCGGTTCCCAGTCATGGCACATACCTGGGTTGTGGGCTCAATCCCTAGTGCAGGGTGTGCAAAAGGCAGCTGATTGATGATTCTCTCTCATCATTGATGTATCCCTCTCTCTACCCTCTCCCTTCCTCTCAGAAATCAATAAAAATATTAAAAAAGAAGAAGGAAGAGGAGAAAGAGGAAGAGGAGGAGGAGGAAGAGGAGAAGAAGAAGAACAGACAGCCACCTCCAATTTCCCAGCTGGGTGATGGTGCCATCTTGAAAGTGAACCCCCAGTCCCAGTTAAGCTGACACTGAGTGAGTAAGGACAAGCTGTAGATTCAGGAGCAGGATAAGTGACTGTTGTTTTAAGCCTTTACATTCTGGAGAGGTTTGTCACGCAGCAATAGGTACCTGATACATCACCGATCCTCCTACTCTCTGCGTGACCACACTTCACAGTTCCCTGCCTCTGTGCCTTTTCTCATTCCTTTTCTTCCATCAGCGTGTCCTCTTCCCATTGAAATCTTATGGCTCCTCAAGGTCTCATTCAATTGGCACTCCTTCCAGGAAGCCCTCCTCATTGTTCCAGTTGGTTGTGATCTCTTCCCCCTCAGAACTCTTGGAAAACTTTGTTTCTACCACTTATATAGCACTTATTGCCAGGATTGATAGCCAACATATTTAGCAACTGGCTAAGCCAAGTACTGACCAATCAGAAGGGAGGCCTCCTGAGTTCGCAGCCCTGTGATTTCCTTGCCCGGCAGCCAAGCTGGTTCCACACAGACTTAGCTCCTCTTCCAGCCTGCAAGCACCTTCAGGGCGGGGCACCTCATCTCTGTAAGTGTCCCCTCCCCCATGGGTCTTCCATGTAATATACTATAGATGTATATTGTTGGATGAGTAATTTGTTGAGACTTAAAAAAAAAAATCTCTGACTAGTAAACGAGAAGGTCCAGAGAGAATACCTAGGGAGCAAAAGGAGTTTAAAACTTTAAAACTACAAATAACTGAGAAATAAGGTAAATCTCCTGAAACCAGGGCCGTGAAGCCCCAGGATCTTTGACCTGAGAGCTTACCGATCCCTTCACTGGTTCTCACACTTTTGTGTGCAAAAGGATCACTTGGGGAAAATGAGTGTGGGTGGGGGCTGGGGGAGAGAATGTGGATTCTGGGTCCCGCCCCCAGACATTCTAGATAAGTAGGTCTGGGTGGGGCTGATGAAATCTCCTCCGTAACCAGCTCTCCAGGTGACTCTGATGCTGGCATCAGAGGACCACACTTTCGGGAGCCCTGCTTATTCAGGACAAGGGAGCAAAAGGAGTTTATTCCTCTTGCTGTAGACCTGTGCCCTTTGAACTGGCTATGGGCGCTGGACTGCCGCGTGTGGAAGAGGCAACATGGTCGGAAGGACAGAGAAGTTGGGAAAGCCATACTTCAGGTCTGTCTTTAAGGAGAATCGCTGCTGTAATCTTTGGGTGGTGGCAACATGAAACAAACACTGCATGGAGATCAGCAGACAGACAAGTTGCCTGGTTGGCTGGGGAGTCTTCTATCTGGGGGTGTCCTGATGTGGGGTGACCTGTTTCCTCATAGTCGAGTAAATTGTTAAGGGTGTGACTCGCTCTGTGAGTTTAGCCTCCACCCTTGGCTACCCGGTTCCTACCAGTCCAACGTCTAATTTCATTCACTCATAACCCCAGAGCTCACATCAGAACCACAGATTCTAATATCAGATTATCTACTTCAACTCTTTTTTTTTCCAGAATAAAATCTAGATAGTTCTGAATCCTTCAACTATTTAGGAAAAAATCCACAGTCTTTCCAGTTTTGTTCTTCCAGCTTCAGGCTCCTCATCTCCTAGCATCCTTCACCAAAGAGTGAGTCTGCCCTGGAATCTGAGTGTCGGATGAGGTCTCAGAGCCGCTGCTTATGCCTGTGACCTCACCCTGTGATTCCTAAGAGGTGCTCCCCAGCCTTTGACATTTCAGCATCTTCCTGGAATAAAAACTGAGGGGTGTTCTTTAAACAGCTTTCCACCACCAGCATCTTCCCCATTTAGAAGGGGAAGCAGTGAGCAGTGAGCAAGTACCACTGCTCTCCATGAATTATTGTCACCCTCAAATTATTCAGGAGCTGTGGAATATATCTATCTTATGTAAAATTTGGGGGCCTTTCAGAAATACTCTTTATCTTCTCTAATCCTTGTGCATTGAAAAAATTTTATAAATATCTGCCCAGAACATAATTTTAAAATCTGACTTGGCTTGGGGTGGTAAACACACAATACAGATGATAATGTATTGTAGGATTGTATACCTGAAACCTGTATACTTTTATTAACCAATGTCACCATAATAAATTCAATTAAAAACCTAACATCTCTGAAGTGGTTGAGATGCTGTGGAATTTGAATGCTGGAATAGTGTGCAGTGTTGTACAAATGGAACCACAAAGATGGACAGTCCTATCATTGCCACAGACTTTCCTTATGACAGAATGCAGACGTCCTGTCATTGGTCTTCAATAGCGGCGCTTTGTTGATTTTGTTCACCATGTGAGCATTTGTATCAACATTGTACAAAGTACTCTTTACCACAAGTTCATTTCCTTCTACACAACACTGTGAGGCAGGTGTGCGTTTAAGATCAAGAAGCCAAGGCACTTAGAGGTTGTATCTAAGGTTACAGAGCTAGTGAGTAACAATCGGGGCCTCGACCCAGGACCTCAAGGCCAGTTCCAGGGCACATTCCATCCTGTCACGTGGTGCTCGCTCTGTGTACGGGCTGAGCCAGGCCCACACAGCTTGTTGTTGAGACAGCCTGAGAGCAGCCAGGAGTATGCACCTTGCAGACCTCCAGCCCCCGGCAGCGTAATGGGCCCGGCACCAGCCGCTGTCCTCTGCTCTAGAATCCATCTCTGCCTCTGCTGAGCTCACCGTTCCCACAGGCTGCTCCTGGCCGATGACTGGGTGTGGCAGGGGCGCTAGGAACAGGCCCCTTCCTGGGACACATGGGACTCCTCTCACTGGAGACTTTGTCCTGGGACCTCCTGGCCTTGCTCAACTTTCCTGAGATCGCATGGGGGCCAAGGAAGGCCACTCACCTTCCTTCCTCTCCTTCTCTCCAGGCCAAGCCCGTTAAAGTCTGCAGGGAGCTCCCTGTCTGCAGCTCCCTAACCAAACCCTTGGCTGCTGCTTCTCAGACCCCACATTATCACAGGCTTCTCATTCCTTGTGCGGACCTAGCTCCAGGCTCAGGAACCAGAGGAGAACCTAGTGTTCAGACTGTCCAGTGAGGTAGCAGGTGAACCAGGAAGGCAAGAGACAGACAGATTAGGCCAATTTCAACATGCATGACAGTGCTGGGCTGAATCTTTCCCGAGACATGGAATCTTCCGGGAAAGTAGACACTGCTGTGGGCATGTCGCACGGCAGCCTTGAAGTGGTGGGAAGAAGTGGCAGTTCCTGAGTGGGGGGTCCCCGATGAAGCCCCGGTTCACCGTGGAAGACCAGTTCTTTCTGTTTGACCTCTGTATCCCTCTTGTTTCCAAAGCCGTCGTCCTGTCCTCCAGACCTGCTCTTGTTGGCCTTGGCAGAACCTGTGAGGTGGAAGAGCAGGCAGCTCTGATGAATACTCGTTAAAGAAAAATGTCTGTGCTGAGTCCGCCGGAGAGGAGATGTCAGAAAAGACATTAGTCTTTGTCTGTATCTGTCATTCGAAGAAGGAACCAATTTCAAAATCATATCTCACACTTTCTCCTCCCCTGAGTCACGGAGCAAGCTTACCATTCCTGTGTTCACTCACTGAACACAGACTGAGCCCTACCGTGCCCGGGGGCTGGGATTCGGAGAAGAAATGCTGTCCATGGAGCCACTGCACACGTCAGGGAACGGGGACAGCGGAGGGGATCTAGGGAGACTCCGAGATTGAGACAAATCAATTCACCAACTCAATGGAACACCAACTTCTTTTTAACTTTGCTGATAAACATTTACCATGGTGGCAATGCTCTCATTTTAGAAGCACACAGCAATTCTCCTCTAGTGGATCCCTAATTACCCAGGTGTGGCTGAGGACAGCCGGATGCCGATGTGGGCGATGGTGGCACCGGCATCATCAGGCTGCCTTTGCTGGTCCTCAGGTTGTGTGGACGGATAGCTGTGCTCGGGGCTGTGATGCTCAGAGTTTCCACTTCACCGTTTTTCAGCTCCCTGGAGCTCCACGCAGTCCCCAGTGTCTTGAGATGACCAGCGGGGCAGAGGGGATGGATTTGCACGCCAAGAAGCAAAGTTGTACAACACCCTTTAGTTTGTCTCGCCCAAGAGCCACATGAGGCACTTGAACACTTGAAATATTGTTAGTCTGAATTGAGATGTGCTGTATGTATAAAATACACAATGGATTTTGGAGACCAAGTTTAAAAAAAAGAATGCAAACATCTCTCTGAAGTTTTGTTACGGATTACATGTTGAAATATTATTTTTGGACATACTGGGTTCAATAACATATTAAAATTAACTCCATCCGCTTCTTTGTACTTTTTTTGTAAACTGGGCCATTTTAATAACTGCAGACATGTAAACTGTGAGCTCGTACTCGGGAACATCACAGTAAAGGAGCTTTCCTGATTGGTGCACAGTCTTCAATAATTATAAGGAGTTACTTGCTGTCAAACCAGTAAGACTGCATTTATGCATCCATCGTTTTCAGGATGGCTGGTAACCCGGGCATATTTTCACATCACAAGGCCCAACTCACATTCACCTTGATGACAGTGCTTTTGCTGATAACACCCAAAGTTGTATGAAGTGGGGATGAGGGTTTCTTCTTTACATAAAATACTGGCAGGCCAAAGGTGGCCTTCAGTGCAGGCTGTGTTACATGGGCCTGATGAATCTTTCAAATTTAGGTGGTTTTCAAATAAAGCCACCTCCAACAAAGCAGACTTTGGTAACCAGCCTCTTCGACACTTGCTTTTTTCTCTTTCCTGTTTGGATAACGTTTAATACCCCTGTGTCTCCCTGGGCACGGACTCTGGCTGCCCATTGTGCCACTCTCTCTTTTCGTTTTTGTTTCATCCCTTTGGAAAGTGCTTTAGCTGGGGTGGGTCCCTCTCTGCCCAGCAGATGAGCAGGGACTGCACGCTGGGGACTCTTCATCATTCTTTTGTTTGGTGTTTCTCTTCTCACGCTTCCTGATGGTCCCTCTCATTTGTGTCTCCTCAGCACTGCGCTGTGCAGGGTAGAGCTTAGCCTTCAGACCACACATCTTATTGTCCTTTCAGTCCCATGTCATTAACTCTTACTTATCTTGATTTTTTTTGTTGTTAGCAGATTTATGAATCCAGTTTTTCCTAAGACTTTTGAAAATTCCTACTCAGTTCAATGATATGATCTGAAAATTGCTCAGAAACCTGTGTTTTAGAGTAAGTGTCAGAGTCCTCTCCACCAATCTCTCTGAAGAGGAAACATTTTTGCAAAAAGTATCAGAGTAAGACAGTGACCCTATAAATGACCAACTTGGAATGACCGTTAAAGACCGGATTACAATGCAAATGACAGATTTGTTTTTCTCAACACATTTTAGTGTAACTCGAATTGCAAATAAAAACATTTTATCAGGACATTGTAGATTCTTAGAAATTTTATACAATTCCTATAATATTTCTTTTAATAACAGTAATATGTGCATATGAATATAATACAATTGTTACTGTTATTTGACAGTGCTTTCCATATAATTTTAACATATCAAATAGACTTAATTAGTTTAATTCCCCTCTTTTACAGAGAGGAAGAGACATTCTTTGAAGTGTTTCAGGGATCCTGATAAATATTCTCAAAGTTATTTTCAGATTAAGAAAGACTCATTTTTGAATTTAGGGAAGTTTGTCAAACATATCAAAAGTTTTAAAACATTAGGTCCAATGGGATCATAGGTCCTTGTGACATATATTGTTTGCTTATTTAGTCACGGTGACAAAGACTGCTTACCCGTCTGATCACAGTGACAGTGCCAGCCTAGGCCCTGTCTCAGGATCCCACACTCAGGGCCATGTGAATAGAGTGACTGCTGTCTGGGCAAGCCCGCCAGAAGACTGCCTGCAGGCTGGTGCGCTGGGTGACTGCCGCCAGTTTCCACCCTCAGTTGTGTGCGCCATTGAAGAATATCTGTTAAATGCCGATACAGAAACCTTCTTCTACAGTAAAGTTTATTTGGAGAGGGTGTGGCTGGAGAGCTGTCCAGTGAGAAAAGCAGGAACAGGTTTTGAAGGACATCCTAGAAATTCTTATAGAGTTCAAATTTTACTGGTTGACATTGAGAAGTTAGTTGAATTGGAAGATTGGGATACTTAAAATTTACTAGAGGCCCAATACACGAAATTCATGCAAGAGTAGGCCTTCCTTCCCCCGGCTGCCGGCACTGGCTTCCCTCCGGCATCCGGGACCCGGGCTTCCCTTGCAGAGGAGGCCCCACCCACCTGCCGCAGCCCGCTGGTCGGTGGCCTGGGCCTTCCTCTTTGGGGCGATCGTGGAGCCCCCCCTATTGATTGCCCTGCCAGCCAGTGGCCTGGTCCTCCCTCTGCAGTGCCATCATGGGGCAATGGCTGGGCCCCGACCAATCGCATTGCACCCACCTTAGCTGACCTGGCACCAGTGGGTGTCATAGCGTAGTCCTGGATGGTCGTCCAGATGGTCATTCCGCTATTCGGCCATTCGGTCAATTTGCATATTATGCTTTTATTATATAGGATATTCAACATCAAGACATAGAAAGTCAGGTGTTGTGGGAGAGCAGGATGAATTCTGGAATCCCTGACTTTATCCAGTAACTATGCTGGAGCAGCACTGCATGCTGGGAGAGGGCCTGACCAATGAGGCTGGGAGAACTCCATCATAAAGTTAATGAAGTCAGTGGATCAAGTGCACTTAAAAAAGAAAAAGGATGTGGGAGAAGAAAGGACCATAGCTTAAATAGAGAGGACCATGTGATAATTATCAGTACTTACAGAAAAGTGTTCTTTTGGTGGAAATATCCTTCTTCCTTATTGCTGGAAGTCCAAGAGAGCTGTACTAGCAAATCTGAGCAGTAGCACAATAATGCTGAAAGAGTCCTGCCGACTATGGATGTTAACACAGCTTCACTAGGGCCCTCATTCACTGAAGGTGCTAGCCACGTATTCACATAAATGTTTCCGCAAAATTTGCAAAAGATAATTTAGCTGTAATCAGTTAATACTGTTGCCATTCTCTGCTCCAAGTCCCCTCTATCACCATCCTCCCTTGGGAGTGCTAAAATGGCCAGCTCATATTTAGAACCCAGCTAAGGGAACTGGGGTTGGAATATATTACTTTGGGATTGGGGAGGTATATTTATGGGCTTTCCAGTTCTTGCATGTATATTTCTAACCTTCCCATGTTCCCAGAATTACCTCTAGATTCTCTTTCAACTCCCCAGCATCTTATGCCCAGAGGGCCTGCAGTCATATCTCCTGATCAGCCTGTCCTAAGGCATCTGGAAGTATGTGGGGAGTAAAAGAGAAACCAGGATGAACTGTACATAGTCAGAAGTTATACTATTGAAAATTATTCTGATCAGCACTTATTTAAAGTGAAAATGGATTCAGTTCTCATCAATGTCTGATCAAAACTGTCAATTAAAAAAATTCCATCAACCCTGTGGAAGGAAAGAATGCATTTTCCGTTTCTTCTCTCTATAGAAAATAGTAACAATGTCTTCCTCCCAAAAATCCATACCCCAGGCTTATCATGAGAAGAATATCAGTCAAATCCCATTAGGACATTTTACAAAATTAAATGACCAGTAAGTACCCTTCTAAGTGGTCAAGCTTCCCCAAAACAAGGATAATCTGACAAACTACCATAGCCAAGAGGAGCAATTTTTCTGTAAGTCTAGAACTGTTCTATAAATAAAGTTTATGAAAAATATAATGTAAAGAAGCAATTAACGAGTATGCAGCCAAAAGGTAGAGTCTAAAAATTATTACAAAGGTAGGAGAAAAGAATTAATATTTTTTAAGGTTATTTTTCTGGATTTTGTGAAATTTATGGTGTTATACATTTTTTGTGTTATAAACTTTTTAAATTTGTATTTTGCTATATTTCTGTTTTCATTCCAAAAAATTTTTGTTTGTATCCAACTTTATATTTGTAATTTTCTTAAAGAGGTCCCCTAAATTGTGTGAACTTCAGACTCCACAAAATCTGGCTCCACCCTTTGTTGCCATTGATCACATATGAATATATAGAAAAATGTGTCCAATTCAGAAACCGAGTGCCTACGATGTGTAAATACTATACTAGGACTTGCAGGGAAGTGGGGGTGTATGAAGATTAACAAGCACTTATAGCTTCATGGGAGAGACAGGTATCTGTCTAATGTAGACGTAGCCTCAAAACAAACTGAGTGACAAACACCCAGCCACTGACGCCAACGCTTTCTTTAATCAGCCACTTACCAAAATGTGGAATTAGAAGCACATTGGCCATTATCAATTGATACAGCTCTACTTCAGATGGCCCTGCTTAAAAGCAATGGGCATAGGAGATCAATAATAGTAACAACTTTGCAGTTGGCAATCACAAGTGGGATCTTTGGAGACAAGACCATTGTCAACCTGTCCCTCAGCTTGTCCCCAAAAGGACTTCGACTCTCTTTAGCTTCTCTAGTAGATTGATCAATCAGTTTTAGGCAGATGTAGATTTGGATCTAGCAAGAATTAGCCACAAAATTTTAATCAATCCAAAAACGTAATGGGGTGAGAGCAACTTAAAAAGAGACTCAAACTTCCATTAGGAAATTTGTTCCACTGCAGCCTCCAATTGGCTCTTGTTCACTTGGCTAAAGAGATGCTTGGCTAAAAGAAAGTAGAAAAAAGGGTTTAAGTCTCCTACTTCCTTTCAAGTCCCCCAAACGGAATCCCCAACTATGGAGTCTGGAACTTTCATTAATGAGAACACTGAGGCCATGGGCTGTCGGTCCTTGCAACACCCTTCTGTGTTAGGTTATTATTATAGGAATAAGACTGTTATTATAATAATACTAAGACTTTTATCCCTGTCTTACAGAGGATGAAATGGGGCTTAATGCAAAGTAGCTCAACTCCCAAACCTGTGTTCTTAACCACTATGCAGTCCTGCCTCTCATCATACCCTCTGTCTGGTGGTCATAAGACAGCCCTTCAAACCGTGAAACTTCTATATATACAAAAGGCTAATATGCAAAGTGTCCCCTTGGGCGTTTGACCGTGAGAACAGGGGTTCGATTGCTCACTATGATGTGCGCTGACCACCAGGGGGTGGCACAGAACATGGCGGACGACCAGTGGCAGCTTTGGCATTCGGGTGGCGAGGGAAGGAGGAGGCAGGGAGGCAGGGAACCTGATTGGCTCTGATCACTGGCCAGGCCTAGGGATCCTACCTGTGCATGAATTTTGTGCACTGGGCCTCTAGTTTTGGGATAATTAGGGAGAAATGTGTGTGTTTTTAAGTGTTAGTGCTGAAA